GATGACTGATGATAGACATGGCAGCCTATCGCATTAATTGTTTCCTAAGAAAGAAAAATCCCACTCAGCTTTAATACCTTCATTTGTGAGCAGGCCTTGCTGATAATCACATGCTAAACTGGCTCTTTCATTTGAGGGATACTGTCTGAAACACACACCTTTCCAAATTACACTCAGGTTTATTGGCTATTATAGTGGACACGTAAGAAAATCTCACAAACAAACCAAAGGAAATGGAACCAAACACCATCTTTGGCAAAAGCACGGTCACTGACCCAACTGCTGGGCCGAACCAGAAGGAAATGTCTGTGCAGAGCCAGAGTGGCTCTGGAGCTCTTCATCGTGCTGACCTTCCACAGGCCATGAGATGGCGTCGGGATGAACATTCGTCTCATGGACTTTTTACTAAGTTTCTCTGAATATAGCTGTGAGTTCAGCTACAAAGGAGCAAAGATTATTACATAAGCAGGTACATGGACAGATTTTACCATAATTAATCAAAATCTGGTCCCTTTCTGAATGTTTATGTCTCTCATTCCTCCACAATTTTCTCTGGGACCAAAAATAAAAATTCCAAAAGCCAGTGGGAAATGAAAGTCTGGACACTTCTGTTTTAATCCAGGAAAAACCTCCCTGAAGGCGCCTGAGCATTGTCAGGTCACTGCCTTGAGTAAGAGCCTAGATTTTGATGTTTATCCCAACTTCATCATGTCACTATTAGGACAATCAGATTCAAAACCTGTCTCTTCTCTCTGTTCTTAATCAATGTGAATCTGGAGAAATCGCAGCCAGGGGTGCTGGGGGACCTCTCCCCTCTGTCACCAAGGGCAGAGCCTGGCCTGTTCCACATTTCTCAGCAGGAACATCTCAGTTCCCACAGCCAGTCCCGGGTTAAAGTACCACAAACAGGAAAATACGAAAACAACAACATCAGACAAACCCCATGACCTTTCACAGATGCACTTCCAGGAGAAATGTTGCAGGTGTTCATCAGAAAAAAAAGAAAACAACAACAAAAAGGTTGGGGGATCAGCTGTGTAAATGAACACTGAGAGAGCATCTAATATATTATTCTGTAATACAAAAAGAAGAAATCTGACTTGATTGCCCTATTATAAATTTGCTAAAAATACAGTTATATATTTATATTTATATATATATATATATATAATTTTTTTAAATCTGAACAGAAAAATAGACTACTCTGGAATGCATGAAAGTCACATGACTTTTCCATACATCAGATACTTATAAAGCCAACACAATGGCAAGCAGGAGGTACAGAGGTAACTGGAACATCTGTACTTTATCCAGGAGCTATCCAAAGCCATATTCTCCCCGGATGGGTGACCCAAACGAAGCCAGGGCAGCTCTGGTTCCGTGCAGAGGTGCCTGGAGCCCAGGGCAGCCCTGGTGATGGAAATTCAGGGATGCCGGGCTGTGCTGGGCAGGAGGAGCCCGGGCTGCTCCGCTCAGCTCTGCTCTGGGACGAGGTGTTCTGTGGAGCCCACAGCAGAGAGAACGTGGCTTTGCAAATCTTGTCTTTGTGATGAGTTGTACACAACCTTGTTATTTACTATAAACTGTACCGGTCATAATTCTGTCAAGACATAAATATACAATAGGTACAAATATTAACAATACATTACAATTTTACAGAAGAGAATACTGTTTTCCTCAGAAATGTGTTTCTTATTAGCTGCAAGGGAAGAAAAGGCTACAGTTTATCACAGCCATAGTTGCCAAACAACCTGACCGCCTCAGATGCGTTTCTCATGACTCGCCCAGGCAGAAACTCCCCGGCATGTTCAGGAAGGGAATGTGCGTTCCAGGATTTCTTTTCCTCTCTCTTGCCTTTTTTTTTATTTTTCCTTTCTTCTACTTTTTTTTTGACTCTCAGAAAAATGTGGATTTCACAGGAGTCTCTTTTGTTTTGGGTTGGGGCTTTTTTCCGTAAGTGTGCTTAGGTGAAGTTTTTAAGAAAAGGCACTGAGAAATCTACTGCAAAGTCACTGCTTTTTTCCTCTGTTCAAGCTAAAACTCAAATAATCTTTAGCCTCCTGGTTAAGAAAACTGAACTCTCTCCTTCCACATAAATATACACATTTATATATATGTGTGTGTATGTGTGTGTGTTTGTAGGTATGCGTTAAAAGTGACGTTGATGCCGTAAGACACAAGCAAGTGCAGACATCGCACGTCCAGAGAGTCCTTGCAGGTATGATGTCCTCTGCAGCAGCAGGTGCGGCTCTGTCAGCTTGCTTGATACTTGGTGCACAGTAAATTTGCAGACCTGAATTCCAAATATCAGTGATTAAACCACCCCCTCTAGCTCGGGGCAAGAGATGTTGCCTGTTTTCCCAACCACTATGAACTTTGGGAAACATGTATCAAACAAACAAAAATTAAATTATCTTTCTAGGATCTATAGGATTTGGTGAGCATTGTGTTTTCCAAGCACTGCCTTTCCTTTGCAATGAGTACAGATTTAGTCTACCACAGCTTCAGGTTAGAGTAGATTTCCCAGTGCTTACATTATATATATGTGTATTATGCACACACACACATATATAGATACATACTTCATATTCAGACTTTATTTCATTAAAATAAATTAAACATACTTCCTTTTTAATTGGGCACAAAATGAGAGCTACATCATTGTACACAAATAAGAAAGAAATGCTCTTCAAGCATATTATATGCTTAATTTTAAATTATTTGCTTTCTATAAGAAATCTATAGGACTTTGGCTATTTAGACTTAAAAGGAAGATTTTTTTAAATGATACTTTTGAATTTGACTTTCAAAAGTGACTCAGTAAAATGCTACTTTAAAGGTAGGACTAAATAGATGACATAAGGTCTGTGCCACGAGCGATCCCGCAAGGCAGACAGAGGGCCTTTGGTTACAAGGAGAGTTGCACCAGTTGACTGTTAGATAAAAAATGATAGAATTGTTGATTCATACATTTTTGTCAGTGCCATCTATCAACCAAATACATCAATTTGGACGAGAGTGTGGTAAATACTACACTATATGGCTATATTTAAATACGTTCACTTTTGTGATATGTAAAATATGACTTTTTTTTCCACATGAAAGCATCAGCTCTAAAAATATTTAACTTGGAAATCACTATTACTTTATAAAAAAAAATTCCCTGATTTTTCCTCATTTTACATTTGTGCTGATGGCAGACATGACTGATCACTGAAACACAGAGATTATATTATAACTGTTCTCTTTAAGATTTCTTGTCGCTGCTCTGCGGCCTCAGAAAGCCGCAGAATAAATCGGTATTTAAAGCTTATCTGCTGGAAGGTTATTTTCGCTTTTTCGACTCAATCTCAGCCAGTATCTCAGCAATACGTCGGTTCCTCTAAGTACACTTGTATTTGCTATGGCCAAATCCTGCCGTGCCTGCCCCGCGGGGAGCGGCGCCCGGGGCTGCGGGAGCGGAGCGGGGCTGGGAACGGGGGGCTGCGCTCGGCCCGGCCCGGCCCGGCCCGGCCCGGCACGGCACGGCACGGCACGGCCCGGCACGGCACGGCACGGCACGGCACGGCACGGGACAGGACGGCACGGCCCGGCACGGCCCGGCACGGCCCGGCACGGCACGGCCCGGCCCGGCACGGCACGGCACGGCACGGCACGGCACGGCACGGCCCGGCACGGCACGGCACGGCACGGCACGGCACGGGACAGGACGGCACGGCACGGCCCGGCACGGCACGGCACGGCACGGGACAGGACGGCACGGCACGGCACGGCACGGCACGGCACGGCACGGCACGGCACGGGACGGCACGGCCCGGCACGGCACGGCACGGCCCGGCACGGCACGGCACGGCCCGGCACGGGACAGGACGGCACGGCACGGCACGGCACTGCCCGGCTTCTGCCCCGCGGCAACACCCGGGCGGCTCCCTCGGCTGGGACGGACTGGCTGAGCGGAGCAGAGCTCCGGGCACAGCTCCTGCCAAGGGGCACGGCTCCGGGCACAGCTCCGGGCACAGCTCCGGGCACAGCTCCTGCCAAGGAGACGCCGAGCAAAGCCATCCTCACAACCCGCCCTAGCTCCTGAAACAGAAATGTGCTTATTGCTTTTGTCCGTACATGCTGCATTCACTATTACGGGTTACAGACAGGGCTGCAGGCCGGGACGGACACACGGCTACATTCAGGACTAACCGACACTTGTGTTTTACAATAGGAAGGAACAAAATGCAGGGGACTCGAGTGGCTCCCACGCGCGCCCCTCTGCTCCCACGGGCCGTGTCTCAGCTCGTCCCTGCAGATTGCTACACCCCGGCAGGACCTCAGGCCAGGTCAGGAAACGCTCGGTGACGGAGCCATTTACAACTGAGTTTTACAGTAGAAACAGAGAACAACATAAAAGGTTACCATCACGGTTATCACAGGACAAGTTGTGACTTGCTACAGGCTTGTAACAAATCACAGTCACAACAAGAGGCACAAATTAAAGTAGTGCTTGGTTAAAGTGCTTGATTGTTACGCTCTGCTATCCTACTCCAGCATTGCAACAACGACAACAAAAAGTCAACATAAAGTGCTTTTCCCCCCCACCCCGAGATTAAAAACCAAAGACAAATTATTTCCTACACAATTTGACATAACTTTATTGAAACAATAATATTTTAAAAACCTAGGCTGGTGGCTGCTAGTTCTGTTCACTTAAAATGGCCAGATCTCTTTGTTTTTTTTTTTTCCTTTCCTCTTTATTTTCTTGTTTCATTTAAAAATGACTGGATGTTATTAAAACATCAGGCCTGATTCTCCTGCCTCTCGCGGCTGCTTCGTGCCACGGCCCTGCAGGAGCCTCTGCTGCCCGACCTCGTGGCAAGAGGGAGCACAGCCAGGCCTGGCACGCGTCGCTACCGAATCCCTCTTTTTGCATATTTATGTAACACTTGCATATCTTTCACTGCGCTGCTCGGGCGCAAAAAGCTCCGGACCAGCCCGCTCCTCTGCCGCGCCTGGCACGGGCAGGGCGGGCACGGCTCCTCCCGGGCAGGGCTCCTGCTTCTGCATGGCTCCTCCGGCCCTCCCGGGCCACGCCGGCCCTGGGGCAGGCACCGGCTTCTAGCCGAGGGCAAGTGCGAGTCTCCCTATGTCCTAGGGCATGTTTGGAATTAGGTACAAGTGGTGCAACTCACCCTGCTAATATTTCAAAAGAAAACATCAGGTCCTACAGGATATCAGATTGTTAAACACACAAAGAGCATTTTAAGAATTGGTTTCTCTAGACCGTTAATTGTTTCAAATGCTTTTCGCTTGGATTTTCCAATAATGCAAGTGTTCCCTGTTACCTTTAAACACAATATCCATCAGAGAAAGCTGTAGATGGGGAACCGCTGCCCTGAAGCAGTGAGCACTGTGTTTTTGAAAGCTTTATACCAACCCCAGCAATTTATTCCAGAGTTCAAATCTGGCTGCCTTGGCATCCTTTATGGAACTAATGCAACTCAGATGTTAATATTTCCAAAAGGAGCTCTAGCGTTCAAGGGGAATGGATGGATATTTGGTCACATTGGCTTCACTGGACAACATGAAAGGAGATCAATGTGTGATCATGATTTGCAATCATTTTTTTGACCGATGTGGGCAATGTCTTTAAAGTTGTTTCAGAGAAGGACATTTTCACAAACCCACACTGGACCTCCCCCAGACTTTTAGAAACAGATGGCTTGTTTCAGCCAAGTTCATGCCATGCAGAAGCTCTTTTGTTTGTGTTGACTGTGAAGATATTCCTCTAAATTCTCAGTAAGTTCTTTCAGACCCCACCTCAGATGCTTTGATCATGTGTGTTAGCATGTCCTCCGCTGCCTGGTAATACATGGACTTCTGGGGAAATGTGATTTTCTAGTCTGACAGTCTCCTGATTGCCCTGGGTTCTTCCAGTGATACCTTCCATAGAGTAAATGCAGTTCTGCCCTATCAGCTTAGGGGAGGTGGGTAAAGCAGCAGCTTCTAGATGGTTCTTCTCTGTTCTATAAACATGGTCCTTTTGCTTTAGATAGCCACTGCTTGCAATACTGTACTTGGGACTCACATTTCCAGGCGGACTTGAGTCATACATCAGCTGACCCTCATCATCGGTGTCAGCGTCGATGTATTTGTGTATACCAGCATCGTGGAAGTTGAAAGCTATGGCTGCCTGGGACTCTGGTGACTTTGGGGGGGTTCTCGCGCTCGCAGTTGTGTAGATCGAGGTTTCTGGGCTCATGAGAGACCTGTCAGAGAGTAAGGAAGTGTCTGCGGCAGCAGCAGCAGCTCCCCGGCTCTTGAGAGGGTCTGGGTACGTTCTCAGTACATTTGATGCTGGTACGAATGTGCTGGTGTCCTCTTCCATGAAGTTGACTTTGAGAGATCTTAGTTTTAACGGGTTACTGGCCTTGATGGAGCTTTTGGGACTGTCGATGAAGAAAGCAGAGCGGTGGCTGCTTTCGGAGCCGGGGTTCACGTCCGCGTACCTGGCGGCGCTGCCCTCGGGCCTGCCCTGCTCCTGGGGGATGCCCTTGCAGGGCAGGGCGGTGAGCGGGCTGTGCGGGAAGCGCGCGGGGTCGGGGAACTCGGCGGCGCAGCTGATGAAGCTGTCGATGCTGGACATGCTCCTCATGTCCACGATGCCGTCCGTGCGCGTCGCCAGCAGCGGCACCATCGGGCCGGGAAGGGTTTCCATTTCCAGCTCTTCCTTTTGCTTTCCAGCTTGACTCGACTCTTTAGTGATAAGGTTTGGCTGGGACTGAGTCTTTGCCATTTTGTTGTACATGTCCTCGAGCTGTTGGACGTTCAGGTGTTGGGGACTTGAAGATGACCTGGCTTTTTCTGGGGATCCTTGTTCCTTAGTTTCAAAAGATTTACTAGAACTAGTTTCAGAGAGTGTTCTCTTGGTCCATTTCCATTTGCTTGGAGATAAATGATTGTCCTGAACTTTATCCTTTTTGGCTATGCTTTCTCCATTCTTTTCAACCACAATGTCCATGAGTTCTATGCTACGAGCAAACGCATCCTTCATGTTCATGGAAACAATACTGCCATTTCTTTTTGCTCTTTCAAGAGCTTCCCTGCGCTTAATGGCTTTCTCCTGCCTCTTCTGCTCTTTGTAAAACTCTGAGAAGTTATTGACAATAATTGGGATGGGAAGAGCTATCACCAGCACACCAGCAATGCAGCACAGTCCTCCCACTATTTTACCCAAAAGAGTTTTGGGGTAAATGTCTCCATAGCCTACTGTTGTCATGGTGATTGTTGCCCACCAGAAAGAAGCTGGGATGCTCTTGAATTTTGTATCATCCTCATCCTTTTCTGCAAAAAACACTAAACTGGAGAAGATCATAATGCCCATAGCCAGAAACAAGATGAGTAATCCAAGTTCATTGTAACTCCTCCTCAGTGTAAACCCCAAGGACTGCAAACCCGTGGAGTGCCGGGCCAGTTTTAGAATCCGGAGTATCCTCATGATCCGAAATATTTGGACCACTCTTCGTACATTTTGGAACTGAAGTACACTTTTATTGGATTCTGTGAGGAAGATAGTAACATAGTAGGGTAAGATAGCCAGCAAATCTATAGCGTTCAGCGGGCCTTTGAAAAACTTCCATTTCTTCGGGGAGGAGAGGAAGCGCAGGAGGTATTCCATGGTAAACCACGCAATGCACACCGCTTCCACGTGGGCCAGCTGGGGGTTATCTGTGGTCTGCCCAAATTCATCCATGCCTTGTAGCTCAGGAAGTGTGTTAAGGGACAAGGCAATTGTAGATAGTACAATAAACATGATGGAAATGATTGCCAAAATCTGGAAAGGAAAGAGAAAACAGTGAGTTAATCTCAGAACACACGAGGCTGTCTCTTGCTGCCGTTAACACGTGGCTGCATTTTCACTCACACGTTGCAAGACCCATTTTGCTCAGCACACACAAGTCAGATAACCAACGCATCCTGAGCTGAGTTTATTTTGGAAGCTGTTTTAGTTATGGCAGTTGCATAAAGGAGATAAAGCCTCTCCTGCGACTCCTGTGCTTTCATCTCCGTGCAGTCAAGGAACATGTAAGGAACAGCTAGGATGCCAGGAGGGCTGTGAAGCTGCAGGAGCTTTTGATTAACTACTAATTAGGTGCCCAACAAGGCCCATCTGGACAACAAGCTCTGAAATTTAAGCAAGAAGGAATGCAACTGTGAATACATGATTTGATCAGAGTGATGTCCTCCATTTAATGAACAGTTACTGCTGTAATTTGGGGTGCTGATGGCTAATTATAGAGATGTGTGTGCAATTCTACTACATAAGCATATAAATAATACACTCTTGTTTAGTGACTCATCTCTAATTCAGTTCTTGATGGTTGTGAAAAACATGAAAACTTCACCAAGTTTCTAAGCCATTTTGAGTTTTCTGGAGGAGAGAGCAAGCATCTGAGCAAACCAAATTGGACACCACTGAGACAGCCAAGGCAGGGCAGGTCCAGTCACTGAGGCCTCACACATCTCAAACTCAAGAGAATAAAATGCAAATCAAGTGTCTCATGGTGGAGTGTGGGGATATTTAGACGTTAATTACTTCTTCATGGTGGCTTGTTTCAAAAACCATCTCCTGGAGACCAGGCACTGCCCCTGAGAAGCAGAGAGCCTGATTTGCTTTCCTAGAAGGCTCTTTTGGTGGTTTTGCTGTCACTTCTTTGTTTACAACCCACCATTTCTGAAGGTGTTTGGGATATTTGCAATGGTACTTTCAATTAGTTTTGCTTGGCTTTATCTCTGCCCACTATACACAGAAGGGCTTATTTGTAGGCTTAGATGTGTGTACCTGTTGGGTTTTATCTCCTTCACTTTCAGTGTAAATATTAACACTCCATCTTTATGCAGTGAATGGCATCCAGCAGCAGTAATTGGTGTCAAACCTTCTGCTTCCTTTGATATACCTTCCTGCTTTGAAGATCAAGGCAATGCCAGATGAATATAAATAAATTAACTGGGATATCTAAGGGTAAAATTTGATTTTGGTTTAGGAGATTTAGCCAAAAGCTAGGCAATAAACAGAGACAGGCATTTATCATTTCTCCCACAAGCTGCAGCAAGATGTCACTTGTGCCCAAGACACAGATTTTCCCCCTTACTCATCTGCTGCAACCACATCTTTGGGAATCTTCTCAGGCTAAGAAAAACTTCTAAGTGTGAGTTGATTGTCCTCAGTTATTCAAGGCACTTTTCAATTGGAAAGCACATAAAATTGAGATGGAGTATCTCCAGCAGGGTTTAGAAGAGATACCTTGTCCTGGTAGCATCTACCATCCACTAAAAGCCACCCACGGAGCAGTTGTGCACAGAAAACTGGATCCAGCTGCTGCTGTCAGGCTTTAGCACTGTTCAGTTGCACAGGGCTCTGTCCCAAAGTATTTACAGTCTGGGATTTCAGATTATAGAAATCACCATCTGTCTCTCTAATAAGGTTTCCCATCTTGGCTGTACTGAACCTCTAGCTTGGCAGCTCTTGTATTTTCCACTGTCAGTAATGAGAGACAGAAAGCTGGAGGGAAGGGAGGCCTCTAGGGATGTTCTGCATCACAGGCAGCCTTTTCATTCCATTCCTGGCCTCTCCTCCTCCCTCTACTCTTACAGGTTCACTTCTCTTTAACAAGAAAAGCCAATGGGACCGATTTTGACTTGCGGTGCAAGGATGGGCAGGATTTCAGGAAAAAATTTCTCCTCCACTAAACTGGCTGTTTCACAAAAGTTTTGGTGGAGTGAATCTCTGGATTGCTGCTATGGTTCCCTTGTGGAAGCTAAATAACCCAGGAACACGCAGGGCAGGGTTTTGGATGAATTTAAAGCAGGTGCCTCAAAGTGATTAGCATGATTGTACACACACGCTGGTTATTACACATGCAAATGAGACAAGCAGGCTCATTTTGGAGCAAGTGCAGCCAGTTTGTGCCACTGCTGTTTCCTGAGGCAAGATGGATGGGCCATGCTGGCAAGCCTTTAATCCCCACCTCCTCAAACCCCCCAAAGCCGGGCGGGCCTCCTGCCCCTGGCACCTGTCAGGACATCCCCACCTGCCCTGGGGCTGCTCCTGCGCGTGGCAGGGTCTGTGCTCCTCCCTGGGCAAGGGGCAGGAGGCCGCTCAGCAGTTTCCATGTCTGTCTGTGCAGGGGCAGTGTGGGTGCCCACCCTGCAGCTGGCACAGAGAGGGGCAGCAGGGACTGACCCAGCGTCGAGGTTGGCTGACATTTATGGCTTGGGTGTTTTCTTTGCACGGCTAAAAACCCCAGCAGAGATAAAGGCATAAGGCTGGAGACTTTCAAGGCCATTAAAATTTATGAGAACTGGCTGTCCCAATCCCATAGATGGCTCTAAAATCTCAGGGTAAGCAGATCCGAGATCTCTCTGCTCGTGGCAACATGCCCTATACTTTTTCTGTCTTCATACTCGGTAATGAAGCTGATATAGCAAGAAGAAGGGGTGGTGTGTGGGAGAGAGTAGGAGGGTGTTTGAATATAGACTCGATATTCTTGGAAATACGATGAGGAAATTGTTATGTAATCAAGAAGTTCAATAATGGTTTTGTCTAATGTGCTTTTTTAGCTCCACCGAGGCCTGCAGAGTTAATCTGGCATCAGGACCAGGTTTCATTCATACGCTCCATTTACCAAGGGATTTTTCCTGCAGCCCCTCAGCTTTCCCAAGCTGCAATACACTTTGAGTCAGACTGTCCAGCTCCATCCAGCCACGCCTGTGCCAGCCTCTGTCTCCCCAGGCTCTGAGGAACAGAGCACGGTGTATTTTCAGCAATATCCCACGTGCTGCACAGTGCAGAAACAGATGGAGAGTTCCTTAGTCTCCTCCCTACTTGATTCTGCACAGGAATAACATCTCCTGCTCGCAGCAGCTATACATGTCTGTGGTATTTATTGACAGGGACTTGTTTTAGGAGACATCTCTTCACTAGAAAATGCCTAAATATTCATAAACTGAAAGAGTCTGCAGAACACAGTCACTTCTGATCTTCTGATATCAAGATTCTGACCACTGGGCTTGCAGGATGTCTTTTCGAGAAAATGCTGAAGCCATAATGAAAGGTCACAACTGCTTCTTGCATCATAGCAAGTTGAGGCCAAAGTGGGGGCTGTGGCTGCAAGGGAAGTACAGAGAACCTTTAATCCGATTTTTTCACGTGGAGGGATGTTAAGATGTAAGACCTTGAATCTCCAAACCCCTTAAGTCCTGCTGGTTCCTGCTCAGGAGTTTTCCCTGACCGGGCACTTTCCATGTCCCTTTGAGGCGCTGCCCACACAGGGTCCCAGAAGCCCCCTGCCCCAGGAGCTGTGAGCTCTGGAGGGGCCCTGCACGGCCAGCCCAGCTCCCTGAGCGCCCTGAGCACACACACTGAGCTCCTGAGTGCCCTGGGCACACACACTGAGCTCCTGAGTGCCCCTGCACACACACTGAGCTCCTGAGTGCCCTGGGCACACACACTGAGCTCCTGAGTGCCCTGGGCACACACACTGAGCTCCTGAGTGCCCCTGCACACACACTGAGCTCCTGAGTGCCCTGAGCACACACACTGAGCTCCTGAGTGCCCTGGGCACATACACTGAGCTCCTGAGTGCCCTGGGCACACACACTGAGCTCCTGAGTGCCCCTGCACACACACTGAGCTCCTGAGTGCCCTGGGCACACACACTGAGCTCCTGAGTGCCCCTGCACACACACTGAGCTCCTGAGTGCCCTGAGCACATACACTGAGCTCCTGAGTGCCCTGGGCACACACACTGAGCTCCTGAGTGCCCTGGGCACACACACTGAGCTCCTGAGTGCCCCTGCACACACACTGAGCTCCTGAGTGCCCTGAGCACACACACTGAGCTCCTGAGTGCCCCTGCACACACACTGAGCTCCTGAGTGCCCTGGGCACACACACTGAGCTCCTGAGTGCCCCTGCACACACACTGAGCTCCTGAGTGCCCTGGGCACACACACTGAGCTCCTGAGTGCCCCTGCACACACACTGAGCTCCTGAGTGCCCTGGGCACACACACTGAGCTCCTGAGTGCCCCTGCACACACACTGAGCTCCTGAGTGCCCTGGGCACACACACTGAGCTCCTGAGTGCCCTGAGCACATACACTGAGCTCCTGAGTGCCCTGGGCACACACACTGAGCTCCTGAGTGCCCTGAGCACATACACTGAGCTCCTGAGTGCCCCTGCACACACACTGAGCTCCTGAGTGCCCTGGGCACACACACTGAGCTCCTGAGTGCCCCTGCACACACACTGAGCTCCTGAGTGCCCTGGGCACACACACTGAGCTCCTGAGTGCCCCTGCACACACACTGAGCTCCTGAGTGCCCTGGGCACACACACTGAGCTCCTGAGTGCCCTGAGCACATACACTGAGCTCCTGAGTGCCCCTGCACACACACTGAGCTCCTGAGTGCCCTGGGCACACACACTGAGCTCCTGAGTGCCCCTGCATACACACTGAGCTCCTGAGTGCCCCTGCACACACACTGAGCTCCTGAGTGCCCCTGCACACACACTGAGCTCCTGAGTGCCCTGGGCACACACACTGAGCTCCTGAGTGCCCCTGCACACACACTGAGCTCCTGAGTGCCCCTGCAAAGCCAGTTCAGCTCCCTGAGGACACAGACCTGTAGGAAGGCAAACCCCTGCACTCCTCTGCAAGCACTACTGCACAGCATAACCTCCATAAAACCAGGATCAGGATAAAGTCACTTGTGTTTTGCTTTGGAAACATACGAGATCTTAATTTTGACATTTGCCTGTAAAAGCCAAGA